TATTGTCTCTATTTTTTTAATTGCATCAATCTAACCTTCAAACTCATTGAATTACGTTAATGTTGTTACTTAACCAATGAAATTTTTTTGTTAATCGTCACAATATTGATGTGATAGTGAATTACGTTAACATGATCATCCATGTATGCATGATGTAAGAAGTGGACTTAATGGATTTTTTTATCGAGTTTGAAGACTTAATTGATTTTTTTATCGAGTTTGCCCCTGAAATTTAAATCATTACATATTTAGTGCCCCAAACCGTTAACTTCGTAAAAAAAACACGCTAGTAAATTACACATTTAGCCACTCAACTATTCATGCAGTTTTGTTTGAGTTACCCAACTTTTTTTTCTTCAAAATCGTCACTAAACTAATATTTTTGTTACGTTTTGGTCACCCAATTTGATTCAATTTATTTTTAAAAATTTTAATATGTAAGAATTCATTTATATTATATTTTTTTTACTTGAAACATAAATTTATTTTTCAATAATAAGTAATATTATACAATGAATAATAAATAATATATTAAGTTATATGTAACACAAATAATGTATAACGTAAATAATAAACAATAAATTGACAACAACATAAAAAGTTGAAACCAAACCAAAATTTAACCAGAAAATAGCTATTAAAATTGCATTCAAATTAAATAAAAGATAAAATATTTGGAAAAAACAACTAAACTAGTAAAAATAAAAACACCTCCAAAGAAAAAAAGTATTTTGAAAAAGGTTAAAGACGCCAATCGATGACGATGTAGACGGTGCAAGCGGTGTGAAGGTCGGAGAAATCTGAGGAAGGAATAGAGAGAGAAAAAAGAGGAAAACGATGAGTTTGATTTTGTCTGGTTTCATAAAAACACAGGAAAATGTCAATTTAAAATTTTTAAAATATACAACAAAAACTTCTGCAACTAAAAAACCCTCTGCGCTAGGGTTCTCTGCCTTCTTTTGCACGTATTTTTTCCTACCGTCTTCTTCATGTTTTTTTGTTTTTTGCTTGCGTTTTGGAACTTCTCGGGACAAGTTTCAGAAGCATGTCTAATGGGAGAGATTGAGCATGATTTGGAAAACCTAAAGCTTGGTGAGGAAGATGAGGAAGCCCTTGTGTTTACGCAATCTACAACTCCATCTCAAATATCCTTTGAAAAATATTTGGTGGGGGGATTTCACACTTCAACTGTGGTAAATTTTCAGGCCATGAGGGTAACAATGGCAAACGTTTAGCACCCGATTGGGGGTATTTCGATCACAGAACTGGGCGAGAGTAGGTTTTTGTTTCGGCTATACCATGAGGTCAGCACAAACCGGATAGAATCAGAGGGTCCTTGGTACTTTAACTCTCATCTTCTAATTTTACATCGGCTACACGATAGAGATGGCCTGATGTTAATTCCTTTAGAGACGGTGGAGTTATGGATATTGGTTAACGATTTACCTGTAGGCTACATCTCGGAGCCGGTGACGAGGCGGTTTGGAAACTTTTTAGGATCGTTTATTGAGTATGATACAACAACAATCTCTTTAGGGGACAGAGGTAGCATTAGAATTCGTGTGCGAATCGATGTGCGAAAACCGCTGAAGAGGAAGAAAAAAACTACCCCTTCCGGATGGATATTTTGTTTATGCAACCTTCCAATATGAAAAGTTGTGTTTGTTTTGCTTTCTATGTGGCAGACTCGGGCATGGGGAAAACTATTATCTGATGCGTGCGCTTCATGGAACAAAGGAAATCACTCCCTAATGGGATATTTCCATTCGAGCACCATATAGAAGGAAGGGTACTCTATCAAGCATGTGGGGATGACCCGACAAAATCATCAATGGAAGGAGACACCACTAAAGCTTGGGTCAAAAAAAGGTTCGAGTCTACTATGGGAGAGAGGGCTTCATTGGGAGGTTCGGATATTGTCATGATAACAGCAGATGAGGAAATATGTATTCATAGACAAGATAATGGGAAAAGGCAACGGAGTGTCCCAGTCACTTCAACTGTTATTATTGAGATGACTACTGGAAGCAATGGTAGATCAGCAGGCCTGAATGCCCAGGCCATCCAAAAGCAATGAAACTCTTAAGCTAGAATGTTTGGGGGTTAGGGATGCCCCGAACAGTCCATCGTCTCCTGCATATGCTGAGATATGCTAATCCCTCCATAGTTTTCTTCATGGAAACTAAGTTACAAAGTTCGTGAATGGAAAAGGTTCGAAAGTCGTGATTTTGTGAATGGCATTGAGGTTGAACCCCAGGGTACTCGTGGGGGTTTGTGTTTAGTTGTGCTCTTTTTCGAGATCACATATTGATGTAGTAATAAAGAATAAAGAGAATGATTTTTCATGGAGTTGTACAGGTTTTTACGGTGCACCTGAAGAAGGTTGTCGTCCCGAGTCATGGAATCTTCTTTGCCAACTAAATGATTATCCTGAGGTCTCGTGGTTAGTGATAAGGGACTTCAATGAGATCATGTTCTCGTGTGAGAATGAAGGTGGTCTAATTTGCAACGAAAGCATATGAGTAATTTTCGCAATGCAATTGAGGAGTGTGGATTATCAGAAGTGGGGTATTCAGGCACCTGGTATACCTGGGAAAGGGGAAAGTAAGCAAAAATTAATATTAAAGAGAGGCTTGATCGTGGTTTTGCTTGTTCTCTATGGCTACAATCATTTTCAGAGTTCTCTCTTCAACATCGATCGCACAACTTTTCTGATCATTGCCCGTTATTGTTGAACACGAGAGCAGTAAATTCCCTTAATCGGCGTTGGCAAAAAAGTTAGGGAATGAAGCTACGGGTTTGGCCCCAAAAAAGTTATGTTTATCATGGGCTAGACAAATGGTTCAAAAACATTTGCCGTAAAAAACGATCAACAGCGGAGGATCTCAAAAATCGACTAGCAGATTTAATTGAGCTAACCCCAACATATGAGATTTTAGGGAAATTGTGGATGTAAAATTACGGTTGAATATGGAAGCAGATAAGCAGGAACTTTACTGGAAGCAGAGAACGCGGGCTAAATGGCTAAAGAATGGAGATAATAATACGGCATATTTCCACAGGTTTGTTTCTCAACAAAAACATCGTAATAGAATTGTCCACCTTGAATCCGACGATGGAACACCCGTAAATAGTGAGATAGGACTTGCGATGCTTGCTCAAGAGTACTTTCAGTCTCTGTTTATGTCCTCCTCTGTGGATCTGAGGATTATTGATGGAATAGAACCTTGTGTTACGGATAACATGAACACATCATTGATCAAGGAATTCTCGTTTGAGGAAGTCACACAAGCAATCAAGTCCTTGTGTCCAATAAAAGCTGATTTTTACAACAGACTCCTTCAGGGCAGATTTGACATGAGGACTATTAACCATACATCGTCTTAATCCCAAAAACGACCGACCCGAAGAGATTGAATCAATTTCGCCCAATCAACCTGTGCAATGTTCTTTTCAAGATAGTGTCAAAGATGTTAGTACAACGAATGCAGAGCCACTTGAATGTCTATATCGATGAGGCTCAAAGCACTCTTGTGCCGGGACGATTGATCACTGAATATTCTATTGGCATACGAGTTGTTACACTATTTTCAGAATGGAAGAGATGGGCACAGAGGTTTTTTTCGCATTAAAACTATATATGAGCATGACTGGGTGGAATGGCACTTTATATGAAGAGTAATGGAAAAAACGGGCTTCTCGCCGATCTGGATTGATTTTCACAAAGCATGTGTTACTACAGTTTCTTATTCGGTGGTACTTATGAAATCACAGGGAATATGTTTGAACAAAAAAAAGGGTTTCGCTAAAGGGATCCTCTCAGCCTTTGCTTATTCCTAATTTGCAGTGAAGGCCTATCTGCACTATTTCATCATGCAATCTTGTCCGAATAATTTCAGGGGGTAACAGGTACGCACCAACTATATCCCACCTCCTTTTTGTTGACGACTGCCTCATCTTCGGTGAAGCCATGGTTCGAATGGCTGTAAAAAATCGAAGACTTGCTACGTATCGAGACAAGCTATAAATTTTGACTAATCATGAATCTTGTTTAGCTCGAATGTCATTGATGCGAACATACAAGATGTGCATCGCATACTTGATGACTCACATGAATCAAACCCGAAAAAGTATTTGGGTCTTCCTACTATCGTGGGACGTAGTAAAAAAAAGTGCCTTCGCCTTTCTTTCGGATAAGTTTAGATGTCGCATCCAAGGTTGGTGCACTAGAGTATTATCTCAAGGTGATAAAGGAGGTGTATATCAGATTAGTCCTTCAAGCCATTCTTGTACGCAATGAATTGTTTTTTCTTACCTAAAATTTTTGCCGAGAACGAGAGTATTATGGCCAAGTTTTGGTGGCAAAAATATGATGTAATAGGGGTGTTCATTAGTCTTGGCTACATCTCTGCCAATTAAAAGAGAATGGAGTACTTGGCTTCAAGGATATGGCTAAATTTAACATCGCAATGCTAACAAAGCAGGGTTTGAGACTGTTTATCAACCCTGGCTCTCTAGTTGGAAGATTGTTTCGGGCAAAATACTTTCCATCTAGTGATTTCTTAAACTCCAAGATCGGTTCGTCTCCCTCTTACGTATGGCAAAGCATATGGAGTGCTAAGCTACTTTTATCAAACGGCTTGTGATGGAAGGTCGGTTTGGGCTCTTCCATATCAACATGAAACGATTTTTGGCTCCCGACCAATCCCCTAAAGCGGATTGAATCAAACTAGACTGATTTAGTTGATCGAGGGGCTGAGCTAACTGATACTACGACAAGAAGCTGGAAAAATGAAGTGATAATGGAACTTTTCAACGAGGATGAGGTAGATTTAATAATGGGAATCCCACTTTCGAAATTTCCCCAAGAAGACTGCATTGTGTGGAGTGACGAGAAATCCAGTGTGTATACTGTCCGTTGCGGTTATCGGCTTTTATTAAATGGAATGGAGATCTCCAAACAGGATAGGGCCGTGTTTAATTACATTTGGGCTTACTCGTGTCAAAGGAAAATTAAAATTCAAGTTTGGAGATTTGTTTGCAATTACATACCCATCAGACAAAACCTACATGTTAAGCGTATTACGAACGATCCAACGTGCTCTCAGTGTGCAGGTGTTTTGGAATCTGGAATTCATGTTATTAAAGATTGCCATTTCGCCCGATCGGTTTGGCCCACGTTAAACTACCAATGGCCAGTAGCTGATTATGCTGATAATTTTTTGATCTGGTTAGGCGAGTTGTTTCCTAGTTACCCTACCACCAAGCATGCAGAAATTATTACTACAATCTGGGCATTATGGTACTCCCGCAACAAATCACGAGGGGTTACAAGTTACAACTAAGAGCAGCATAGATTGTTACCCTTGTCAAAGCCCAGTGCTTGGATTTTACTACAGCAAATACTTGCCTTCGGGGAGTCCATGCACAGACTCTGTTTCGCTGGATACCCCCTCGCGTCCCATGGGTTAAAATCAATTTTGATTCCAGGTTCTCGCAAGCACAGAAAAGAGCTTGGTCAGGAATTGTTATTAGGAATAACGAAGGTTTTCATTATGGGAACATGTAAACGGAAAACTGAGCAAATTACCTCTCCGTTCATGGCCGAGGCGATGGCGCCCATACACGCTGTCCAATTTTCTGTTGACCTCGGATTCCAGCACGTAATCTTTGAGGGGGATTCTCGCACAGTAATAGAGAAATTAAGCTCACATGAACCAGACCTTTCAGAGATTAGCGCGATGACATGGGAGGAACGGAGAAGGGCTGAATCCTTCCATGCATGTTCGTTCAGATTCGTCCCTCACGATGGTAATAAAGCTACTCATCTGTTAGCAGCAGATCTGGAATCCAGCACGGCAGACTACTTCTGGGTTGAAGAAGCCCCTTTGCGGGTGGAGATGCAGGCGTCTGAAGATCGACGGTGGATCGACCCTCCTTAGGCGCAGTTGATGAGTTCAAGCGGTTTTGAAGGCTCCATCTGATTTTTTGCTTCTTGCTTCAGGCGTTTCAGTGTTTATCTCGTCTCTTATGCAATATGAAGGCCAGAAGTTTTGCATTCAATTATTTTTATGTTGGTTTAGTGAAGAGTTAATGCTTTGTCTCTTAGTGCTTCACAGCTGTATTGCACAATTTCCTTTGTTTTTGTTTTAATAAAGCTGGTTTTCCATTGTGTCAAAAACAATTAAATATAATTAATATATTTTTAATTTTAAAATCAAATTTCATAACTTTAAAAAATTAATTTTTATATTTTATACTTGTAATTATTTTATAGTGCTGTTGATGATGTATATGAGATCAAAGCAAATAGTTTGGGTGCATGAGATTAGGGTGATCAGTGTTTCTTCGTACGTTATGTAATTCTCATTTATGATATTTTAATTAAATAGTTAATATTTAACTTAATAGAATTTTAATTACATATAATTTAATATTTATTTATTATTTATCTTATAATATTATTTATTTTGAATTTATGTGTCAAGTTAAAAACATAAATAAATAAATTCTTGTATATTAAATATTTAAAAAATAAATTGAATCAAATTGGGTGATCAAAACATAATAAAAACTTAAATTTAGTGATGATTTTGAAGAAAAAAAAGATTGGGTAACTCAAACAAAACTGCATAAATAGTTGAGAAATTAAATATATAATTTACCCGCGTATTTTTTTACAGAGTTAACGGTTTAGGACAAATGAGATAACAATTTAAATTTTAAGGGGATAAAATGTTTCGAAAAATACTTTAAGGGTCAACTCGACACAAAAGATATAATTTAGGGAGCAATGGTGCATTTAAACCTTAAAATTATGATCAAATCGATAAAAATATATAAATAATAAAAACTAAATATGTAATTACATTAATTTTTTAAGAACCACGTCAACTCCTCTCTTGGATGATAACAACTAATAACTTAATTGGTAACACTTAAATAGTTAAAATATTTTGATTGATAAAATTGAAAGATTGTGTCTAGAATGAAATTCACCCATAATTAAGTGGTCATGGGTGTAATTTACCATTAAATTTATACTACAACAGAAAACATCCTATACATTATACTTGGTAATATAAACATACATGTATAAGATGCAAAAGCAGGATTGTTAATAGTTCAATTGCGTAAGTTATTGTTTCTTTTATCCACCAGGCAATTTACATCTATTTAGACAATCGTACAAGCTGCACAACACAAATAAAGAACCAGAATTATCAACAGAAATAATATATGAATGGACGGATTATTTACGTTCGATTAACGGCACAGATCAGGAAGATGTTCTTACATCTACAGTCAAATCGGGCACATAACTGTGGTACTTAAGTCCAAAGGCTGCCGGAATGGCAACTTCGAGACCAGGAATCTCCAGGTCTTCTTCCTAGGATGATATATCTGCATAAACAATGTCCCTGCCCTCTTCTGCCGTCGTGACCGTCGAGTTTCAGTTGAATCAATTCCATTTACAATCGTCAGTACATGTAACTCCCCATTCAGAACAATAAAACCAAATGATGTCTTACAAGCAGCTCTCCTTGGTACACTGCACTCCTTTTGCCAACGATTTAAATCCATGTTGTTTCTGCAGATACATAAAGCGATGATGAACGTGCCATTATACCTAAGACCTAGAATAAGAATTTGGAATAATTAAAAAGGCGAATGGCTTTAAATCCTAAAGGAAAAACTAAAAAGGCAGAGAATGTCAGATAAAATGCATTTTTGTTGATAGTAGAGAGAGTCAAGCAGTTTAATACAAGCATCTCAGCAAATGGAACAAATGAAAAAGAGCAAATGTGCCAAAAGAGATTTAAACTATGTTACTCGGACACGGGTATGTACCCCACACAGGTATGGTTAGACTTGTCTAAACTTTTCCATACATTGATTTAATGGAACCTTAGAGATCATATCCTCATATCCAAGTGTCGGATACAGGTACTTCATGAAAAATGAAGAATCCAAACAACATAGGATTTAACAACCGTCTAACAAGAGATAAGACAACTATCTGAAATGGTAATTAGGCAAAAACCAGCCATATGCGTTGGAGTTCAGGAAATGATGAAATGCAATCTTATAATCATCACCTGCCTCAGTCTAACAATAGAAAAATACCAATCTTTTAACTGATTAGATAGCAAGTTGCAACTATTGATTAATATATACGAATTTACAACCTCAAATCCTGCAAGCCAGATAGTCACATCCTCACCCAAGTGGTTCAGTACATGAATCAAATCAAAAAAGAACTAGCAATTAATCAAACAAGTACGGTGACTTGTAATAGATATTTCTGATACCTAAAGAAACACTATGCTGCGATTTGTTTCGGTTTCTGAATTCACTTGATAAAGATGTTTTTATTAACGGTAACTTTATAATGCACTAAACTTCGATCCTAGCAAAACCATCAACTCATTGAAGTACTCGGTAACCTTCTAACACTATATCTAATACCCTCAAAGAAGCACAAATTTGCAAATTGCAACATGGCAGAATTCCACAGCTAATTTTTCCAAGAAGGCAATAAATTCAATGATACCAACATAAATGTAGTATCAAGCAAAAAGAAGAGTACAATTACCTGAGAATATCATAATCATCAATCATGAAAATAGCAGGAGGATTACCCCCTTCTTCATCCTCAACCACAACAATTTTTCCAAACCTCGGCGTCTCCCCTGTTCCCCACATATCCCCAAGTTCCCTCCACTTCCCATCACCATTTTCCTTCAACTCCATCACCAAAGCATCCTTATAGTACTCATCGACTGGGAACACACCCGAGACGGTTCTTGAATCTCCATATCCACCCATCACCCAAAACAGCCTCTCTTCCCCATCTCCCGTAACCATGAACCCCACGCAACCAGCTCGAAACCGAGGCAACCCGTCCAAAGCTTCCCATTGATCTTTTTCCACGTCGTACCTCTCCACCGAACATATCCTACTCCCGGCAGCGCTAAACATGGTGTGCCTGGACCCACCCCCGGCGACGATGATTTGATCGGCGCTGGGGATCGCAGCGCAAGCGAAGCTCCCGCGCTGGGAAATCATTGGCGCGAGGCGATCCCAGGAGGAAGTAACGAAGTTATAACGGAAAGTCGAGGAAGAAGAAGAAGGGCGGTCTAGAGGGAAAGAGCGGGTGTCGAAGAGGGAGCCGCCGAGGACGTAGATGTGGGGGCCCAGAGAGATGGAAGTGAAATTGCAGAGGCCGTACTCGTGAGGGTTGCAAGGCATGGGGGACATGGGACACCAGGCGAGGTGTTCGGGATCGAAGAGGAAAGGGGAAGAGATATGGGGATCTTCCGGAAAGATGCAGAGGAGGTGGGAGCGGCGGTTGTAACGGCGGAGGGAGAGGAGCGTCTTGGAAGAGAGGAAGATGTACCAGGGCTTGCATGTGGGCTTGAGGCGGCAGTGGTGGGAGTATGGGAGGAAGGAAAGGATGAGGGCGGCGACGTCGTTTGGGAGGCCGGGGATTAGGGTTTGGGCTTCATCGATTTCGTGAAGATGGGTCCACGGTGATGATGGAGGAATTGACATTTTCTTCTTCTTTTTCCCCTCTTTCCTCTGCGAAAATTGAGTATCGCTTTGCTGAAAATGAAAATCCAATTAATTTTGCAGACGCTGTATCTTTGATCTGGGAAATCAACAAATACGACGCCCTTTCCCCCCTTCTTTTTTACTTTTTAAATCGGATTTGTGTTATTAAGGTATGGGTTTCACGATTCAAAATGATTTTCCAGAAATGCAGGAAAGTATAAGACTAAAACCACCTAAGGATCTAACACTAAAGTACGAGTAAATCTTTGATCGAATTGAACTGAATTCATTTTTAGGATAAAGTATACAAATAATCTCTTAATTATATGATATTATTTTGTTGAGCTTTTTTTAAAAAAATTATCGGTGACCGATATATTTATTAATTTAACATCGATCAGATTATATTTCTCGATTTAATACCCTTTGCAGTAAGGCGCGCCCCCTGCGACGCGCTTTATGCTGATATGGATATACGTGGGTATAGCACGGTCCTTGGGGCGCGCCTTACGCCACGTAAGGTACAACGCGGGTCAGGGGCCGCGCCTGACCTTTATAATTATATATAGCGCGAGGCAGATACCGCGCCTTGTATAATTATTACAACTTTTCTCGGATATAAATATCCTTCTCCCCGGGTTAAGTTCCTCACATCTCCTCATAACTCTCCTCTCAACTTAAAAATTAATACAACAATTCCGTCAACGAGTTAATAATTCTGACAATTTTCTCATATTTTATTCAGACGTTCGTGCGATTTTTCGTTATAAGGTAATTTTGTGATAAATTTTTTTATTATATTTATTATTTATTATGATTATTTGAAAAAGTATTATACTAATTGTTGTCAATTAATTTCTGTGTTTGTAAAATTAGAAAACGGGAATATACGTCGAAATAGTTTTGCGGTACATGTAATAATATAAAATTATATTATTTAAATTATTTACGTTTATGTGTAAAAAATTTATTCTATTATATTTTCGTTCATATATTATTTATTTAATCAGCATTGTTTTAGTTGTTTTTTTTTTGTAGATATAATATTACCGCACTTTTAAACTCAAAGAATGATGCGACTTTCAGCTATTGTTTATTATGATGGTGAAATTCGAGAAGATGAAACCGGTGTTGTTTTCGTATCAAATGAGCGTGTTAAAATATTATTGAAGAGAAACATAACTCTTGAGGAGCTGATAACGAAGATTTCGAGGAATATTCATGTTGGAAGTAGTATAAGAATGTCGTCATTGTAGTACAGATTTCAAACATCATTGTTGCCATTAACTTATATAGCGTTCGAACTTTTGAACAATGATGATGTTGAAATGATGGTTGAAGCTCAAAGTAATTATTCAGACGCCGATATTGAGATGTATGCAAATTTTATTCAAGTGTGTGTCGTTCGGGGTCAATCATTAAGCTCCCACTATGGGCTGGCTCAACAAGTTGATCAAGTTGACAGCCCGACTACAGTAATGTGTAATGATTTTAATGCCATAATGGGGAGACATTCATCCGCAACTCTTTACGATATGTACCGAGGTGGGTCGACGAACAATCCGTATGGCAACATCGCGTCCAGTTCAAGGGGAAGGCATTCATCTGCAAATCCGTTAGACCTTAATATGAAGATGTCATCGACGCAACCATCTGTGCAGTTTCCATTTGACACAATGGCTTCAAGCTTCAGGGGGAGGCATTCGATTGTGAGCTTTTTCAATCTCAATGTCAATATGCCTTCCAGTTCAAGAGGAACGCGTGCAAGTAGTAGGTTCTTCGACCTAAATGTGGAGAGCATGGAGGAACCATCATCTCCACCAGAAGAACCGCTTCGTGAGCCTGGTGCGGATGGTGTTGAGATTGGACTATTCATTCACCCAGAATCACCGTAATTCAACTCCGATGGTGATGATGATGTAGATGAAGTTCCAACAAATGTGACACAAACTGACCCTCCAGCACACATGTATGAAGCTGATTATGATGCAATGTACGAGCCAGAATTTGCGGATATGCCTCATCTCTGTGACTATGGATATTACTCATCAATAAATAATGGTGAGTTATCTTTAGGCATGGAGTTTTCAAGCAAGGAAGAAGCGATGATGGCTATCAAAAATTACAATATCTGTAATTCTGTTCAGTCCAGAGTCGACCGCTCCACGACCGAAAAATATGTATGCTACTGTGCCCGACGAGAAAATGGATGCAATTGGATGGTTCGCGTATCGAAGAGGAAGAGGAAAAACAATAGATGGGAACTAACAGTATACAACGGTCCTCACACATGTTGTGCTGGAGGGGTCAACCAAGATCATCCCAACTTGGACTCTAAAGTGATATGCCAAGCCATCATGCCCATGGTAAAAGCAATCTCTCATATAGCTGTTGCTGTGTTGATTTCAGCTATACAATCGCAGTATGGGTACACTGTCTCTTATAAAAAAGCTTGGTTGGCAATACAAAATGTCATTGTCAAACTTCATGGCGAATGGGTTCTTGACAACGGGACATAAAAAGGGAAATAGATACCATGCCCAAGACTGCAGCAGCAGGAGACATCCGCCGATAGCATTACGCCTGTAGTAAATGGCTCGACACATCTCCCTGTACAGGCAAGCCAAAACTGTCGAGTCACAACTGAGTGATCCGGCCAGATGAAAGTCGCCAAGATGTTGCAACCACATACAGTGAACTTGGTTGCGCGATTTGTCCGGCATCAGCAACCCTCCTATCAGCTGCAGTATGCATGCCCGTGCATACTGTTTAACTTCATCGTCAGACGTGTTCTCGCTCAACTCCCGAAAATTGGCATCTAACCAATTTAACGGTATTCGTCCACCGTTAAAATTTTTCGGGACACGTCCTAGACTAACCCTACACAAAGTAGTCCAAGAACCGAAAGCTATCCCTGATATCACACCTCCATCCACCGGAAGCCCCAGGTGCATAGAAACATCCTCAAGCGTGATCGTGCACTCTCCGCACGGAAGATGGAATGTGTGGGTCTTCGGCCTCCACCGCTCTACTAAGACAGAAATAAGGTCTGGTTCTATATTACAATGACCCTGATATCTACCTAGGTGACCGAATCAAGCCTCTACTAAATACAGCATTACACGAGTATGTATAACTAACTTAAGGTTCCTAATAAAAGGATCTAATATACAGTCTCTCTCCTAAAATATAAATAATTACACAAATTAATTTTTAAACTAATAATCATGCATTAAATTAATTAATTAATTAAATTAAAACGTTAAAATGTTACCGTATCAACAAAGTGTCGAGATATATGATTTCCATCCAACCAAATTAGACCGCCTTCCATTTTATATCTGCAAAAAAAATTAATTAAATAAAATATTAAACAATTAAAATAATTAAATAAATTACTAAAAAAATACTAAATATAATAAAATATACCTTAATAAGAGAATATAAGAGTATTTGAGAGAAGTTGAGAGAGGATTTGGTGTGATGAAAGTGATTGAGCATGTGGTATTTATAGGGAGGGATGGTGGGTGTGAACGGGCGGGGGTAATTTGGTAATTAAGGGTATAGTGCGGGCCAGGGGTCGCACCTTTCTGACGCGTGTCAGAATCACAGGTAAGGCGTGGCCCCTGCGCCGCGCTATACCTTTAATTACCAAATTACCCCCGCCCGTTCACACGTGTATCCATGTCAGCATAAGGCGCGACGCAGGGGGCGCGCCTTACCCCACGTGGCACCAAATCAGTGTATAGCGCGCTGCAGGGGGCGCTCCTTACTGCAAAGGGTGTTAGATCGGGAAATATAGTCTAACTGGTGTTAGATCGGTACATTTACTGGTCACCGATATTTTTTTGGGAAAAATGCCATTTTGTTGAGTCTTTTAATTATTAAAAATTATAAAATAATCCCTTAATTATAAGTAATTGATTTTTTGAGTCCCTCGACTATTAAAAGTTACAAAATAGTCAATATATTCCAAACTTATTCTTTTTCATTAAAAAATAGACGATCGTCTGAGCTAGACGTTAATATGCTGATTAAGATATGATAAAATATGATCTCATAATCATTTGAGTTGTATAGTCGTTTGAGATTCTGGGATCAGATGTTATCGTATCTCGATTAGCATGCTAACGTCCAACTTAGACGACAATCAATTTTTAACAAAAATGACAAGTTTAAAACATATGAATAGTCGAGTGACCATTTTGTAACTTTCATTAGTTGATCGACGAAATATTTTATCACTTTTAATAGTCAAGAGACTGAACAAAATAGTTCCATATAGTAGGGGGGCCATTTGAAACATGTTCTTTTTTATATTATAATATTATTTAATAAATTAATAGCATCTAAAATTATAAAATATATTCATAATTTTATTTTTTAGAGAATATTTTGAGGACGAAGTATTAATGAGTAAATAAAAGGGTTAAAAACTATAAGAATGAAGAATTTGTAAAATAAAATTACAAATAAAATATAAAATTAAGAAATTAAATTGTAAAAAAATAAATATATTGTTAAAAATAAAAATTGAAGTTACATAGTTTTTCTAGAGTAGTAAAGGAGCGTATTATTCAAATTTAATAAAAATAAATAAACTAAAAAAATGAAAGAGATATTGAAGAAACAATAAAATTATATAAAATTAAAGGATTAAATAAAAAAATAGAAATCTTATTTTCAAAAAGAGATAGTAAAGTTAAATCGGTATTATATAATAATTTAGGAGTATCTTGTTTAAATTTGATAAAAAAATAAATTTAAAATTAATGAGAAATTGAATAAATAAGAAAATCAGTTACCAAATCATAAATCTATTAAATTATTTAGGAAAATTTTTAGTTTTTTGATAAATCGACTCTTACAAATCCAAACTTGACTTAGTTTACTTAAATAATTTGAAATTTTAAAAAAATATTTTTTCAAGTCGAATTGAGATTCGTTCACCCCTATTATAAAGAATAAACCTCATTGACATATGTCTTGAAAGTTGGAATTAATTTACTTTATTAGTATGAAGTTATTTACAAGATAGTAAAAAATACTCTAAATCATATGATAGTGAACGTTCAACTTGTTTGAACCTGAAATCTCTAGATATAACAATTATCCCTTTAGCCAC